GACTTTGCCTTTACTGACCGCTTGACCGCAACCTATTTTCCGGGTCTCACGCCATACCTGTCCATCAAATACAATATGTTTTCATTGTTTATTAGTAATACAGTAAATAATGTTATCACATTTAAATCATGTGCTAATTTATTGGGCTAAGATAATTTTGGAAAGTGTTAAACAATAATCATATGAATTATTCATTAAAATTTAATTAAATTATTTAATAATGAAAATTATATAAAACTAATATTCAAAATATATCACTGTTTATTTTTTAAATAAAAATTACTCACTATAATAAATATTTACGGATTCTTTAATTAGTTAACTAATCATGAACACTTATTATGAACACCTATTACTCAAAGTAAACATTTCAATGTTAATGACTTTGAAAATAAATTACTATTAAAAAACAATTTATATAAAAGTAATCAATAAAATGTGACATTTGTTCAAATATTCTCTACAAATTACAATCATTTATCAAACTATTGGTGTCTATATTAGCAGGGATTAGGTGTGTGTGACATATCACACAACTACTCACCACTTGAGTGAAGTGTCCGTTTCTAGACGTGATGTTAGGTTTCAGGAAATTATAGATCTTCCACTCGTCGTACCATAGCTTCAGCGGCACCCGACAGTTGACGTTCACAATGGAGTTCCAGGCTAAGTTCTCGCCATACTCTAGGTCATCAGGGTGGAAAAAGTTGGTGCCGTCCTTTTTGGCCATTTCCGACGCCCGGTATCGCGCAAAGTCCTCCAACTGTTATACAGTAGTAGTATATGTAATCGCATTCAATACATTCACTTATACTTTACTACTATTTGTTTAATAATGTTAACATTTACAAATTATATACGAATAGTAGGATTGTAACACATAGAATTCCCCTTTATGTAAAAATAAATATTCCACAATTACTAACATTGATCATTTTAAAATAAAATAATTGTATGATTCTCGAATAGATATCAATCACTGCAATAATATCACTGCAATAATCACTGCAATTTTTAAAGCCATTATACTTGCAATGAGTGATAGGATTATGCTCGATCATTTATAGCTTAAAATGAGCATTTTGTTTAAAAATATTCATTTAACTTATTTCACAAAAATAACTTTTCATTTCAATTTTATCGATAGTGGCAAATATCATTTCATATTATATTGTAATACATATTTATTGCTATCCTAATGGTAATTATTATTAAATATTCAATTATTAATCATTTATTATTTATTAAGCCAATGTTTTGGTCACGATTTTATAAT